GTTTACTCCGGGACATTACTCTCCATTTTTCCTCTCCATTTTTCCACACTCGATTCAATGAAGGTCCTTTTGATCCTTATTGCACAATGAGATTGGTTATTGGAGGTTAAATTAAATGAATTATATTTCAGGCATCAATTTTAAGAATTTTGTCGACAATAAAAATAATCTCCATCAATAGCGGATACAAGCCACTGAAGACATTAAATAATTCTGATTGTTTTTACTTCCAAAAATATCAAAATCAATTTTATAAAAATATCAATTGTTTTGATTTTTTTTTTTTTTTTTTTTTTTTGGAGAAGGGCCATATTCAATTCCAAGCCAGGCACAGACAAAGGTTTATACCCGACACCACATAGTGGTCTGGTATTATGTCTTTGTGCATTTGTTTGTAACAGGAAGAAGGAAGTGAGATAGACCCAAAGTTACTTCTGAGTCGATTTATGCATGTCAGTCCGTCTGTCGATGTATTTTGGTGAACAAATTGCAGATAGATTCTATTATCCGATTGAAATTAATTTTTTAAAACAATAATTGTTTGGTTCAAGACGAGCCCTATTTAAATTGGCGAGAGTCGGTTCAAATTTAGATAGAGCTCCCATATATATCCTCAACTGGTTTCGGGTTAATTGTTCAAGAATTGGTCAATAACAGTCCTCACAAGCGTAACATGAACTCCACCAGAATGATATTTGGTACCAGTTATCAGATATAGCTCAGAAATACCTCTGTTTTCGAAGTCGGATCAGAGTTGGATATAGCTCCCATACATATATTTATCCAATATCAGGTTTATTGTACACTAAATGGCTAATATCAGCCAAAATTAAATGAATTTTAGCAATTTCGACTGAATTCAGTCTAGAAGCAAGTGCTTCAAATTTGAGAAAATCGGTTCAGATATAGCTATAACTCTCATAGATATGTTTTATCCGATTTGGGGTTTTAAGTCTCTCACACGCTGAACTCCAAGTATTATATACTTAAATAACGACATTTCATAGAAAATTTCATTCTTCCATTATCCGCCGTATGGTATATTTCCAAATTGGTTCTCAATGTATATTTAAAGAAATCGAATTAAATACTGAGTTATATTTAAATCCGAATTCCTAGATCACTTGTGTTATTGTGTTTTTGAAACCATGTTTTTATACTCTTAGGTTCTTAATGTTTGCACAAAAGGTATAAATCAAATCTTTAGTATTCATGAAAATAACCATTTTTAATCGTTCATTATTTTTTTTTTCTTTAGTCATCATATTTTTTTAAATAAATAATTTAATCCACGTGGGATCGAGGACATTTTCATAATTTTCAATGCTACCTTAATCCGTAGAAAAAAAAAATATTTTTTCCTAAAGAATAATACCTTTTTTCACTAAAAAATTAACAAAGACCATTTCCTGCAAAACAAAGAAAAAGGTTGACAGAAAAGGATACAACAATATCTCAACTTTTGACACACGTCCGAAAAAAGAAACAAACTTGAAGTTTTTATTTCACTACATTTACATTTTCTCTCCTTTTTTGTTTCTCTCTTATTCTGCAGGAACTTTACAATTGAGACGCAAATTGCTGGCCACGCAACAAAAACAAAATTTACATTTAAATCAAATTAATGTTAATCTTAATATCTTCATGGTGATGGTTTGTGTCCCCACTGTAACAAGATTTATGCATTATATGAATTACACCGCGCCGTGGTGGCGTTGCCTCATCCTTTTTGTGATTTATTTCATAATTTATGTTTTCCTCTCCAGCTTCCAGGCTGGGGCTCCAGACTTCCACATTTAACCCTATTCCCAAAACTGTTCGTGTATTGTTTTTTTTTGGCCTGGCCTGCTGGTGAACTGTGTTATTTCTCCTTTTTTTCATTATTTTCTGAGCACCTACTCATTCATATCAAATGACATTTTTGGCCTCGGGCCGTATGTCGGTTGTACGTTTAAAATTGTGTTGAACATTTTGTTTCTTTTTACCATTCATTCATTTCATTCCCTTTGGAGACCGCAGGGAAATTCGGAGCTCCGAACACTTAACATGACAAATAAACCGAGTGAGAGAGTGTTATCATGATTTACAACATTAATGAAAATAAAACGGGGTAAAAATAGTGTTTAAATACCTTTAATATGTTCTTTGGCTGAAGTTGTTGCCTTCGACTACCCTCTTAGCCCGCCGAGAACAGTTTCGCGGCAATATCTTTAAGCATTTACATAATCTCTTAGTTGTTGTAGTTTTTTTTTTCACAAAATTAAATTACTGCTGCTGCACTCGTCTGAGGAAGGCAAGCCAAAGTTCCAGAGAGCAGAGTCATAGCCAGCATTTGCCAGTGAGGAGTATATTTGCCCAGAGGGGGTATGGGAGTGTATCTCAAATCTTTAAAGACTTTGTGTAACGCTTGTCGTTTTATTCTTCTTTTTTTGTGCTGTTTGCTGTCTCTCTGTCTGTCTGTCTTTATGTCTGTCGTAAGGTGATTTGATGATTAAAGCGCCATTAAAGCTGTCACTCTGTTTGCTATTAAACGCCTGCCCCCTTGACGCTGAAGTAAAACATGTTTATGCAAAAACAACAAACACTAGAGAAAATGAAACGGAGAAAAAAATGTGCCACCTTTGCGTAGGGATGTGGAGTGATAAGTTTAATTACAGAGGCATTATATTTTTATTACAAAAAAGTGAGGGGAAGGGAAATGATTTTTGGTTGATTTCTGGATATTTACGTCCAAAAAGTTCTAAAAAAAATTAAATACCGATATTATTTTCGAGTTCGGTCCGACAACTCTAATTTCCCTTCCAAATTTCCCATTAATATCCTTGCGAATTAATTTCGACTTCGGTTCGTCGATCGGCTAGAACTTCAGACTTTCATCCGACCTTCGGTCTGACAACACGTCAACCACTCCATATAACTTTCGGTCAGAAGTCGGACCTAATTCTCATCCGAAACCGGTAGTTTTATCTGACTTTCATTTCGAAGTCGGATCGAACTCGGACAGTTTGATTCGCTGCGTAATTGCAAGAAGAAATTTGTCCGATACAAATTTGCAAGTTCTCATTAAAAGATCTGTCAAAATTTCTCTGAGGCTCTGTCAAAAATAGTTGAGGCGCTCAATTTCGCATAACTTTTGTGTTAGGAGACGAATTCTAGTACTCCTGCCTGGCCCTGCTTCTCATGGCTCTCACCATGGTTTTATATTTCAAGATATTTTGTACATTTATAATTTATTTTTCCTCAAAATTATTATGCCCACCTCGTATGTTAGCAGCTCTTGTTATAATGGATGATGGTACAACTCAAACTCTTAATTTTCACCGCTTGAAGATTTTCTACTTTACTTTTGATGCGATAGTTTTTATTAAAATTACAAGACATACTTCCCCTCACCACTCCCTCTCTCCCCCACACATCTTCCCAATTTCTTTGTGTCATAGATGTGTGAAGCAAAGCTTTTACATTATTACTACCTCTTTCCATTCGGGCACACATCACATCAACTTAGAGCTTCTTTACGTGTCTTTGCGGATGCTGTTTCACATCGAGCTGATGGTGGTGATGATGAAGTTTTATCCAAACACTTTGCATACGGTTTTGTACCTACTTACCACAGACGTCATTAAAATGTCAAAATGATAAGTTTGTTTACGACCGCCAGCTAGAGTTTATTCGACTGTCGACTCAATCTCAGGTTCCAGGTAATGTTCAGGCGGACAGCCGAGCCATGGAAGTGGAAGACAATTGACACATAGACAACAGAGGGCGAACGAGTGAGCGTGTGAGTGAGTGAGTATGCCAACCACTGCCACACATCAATCATTTGGCCAAAAGGTTTCCTCATACCCACCTTCGAAGGGAAACATCGAAGAGATATTTCAAACTGATCTCCGTGTTAATAATTTTGGTAACGTGTAGGGGGCGGTAAAAGGGGTTCCTGGTAAAAAGGGGTAAATTTATGGGGCCAAATAATGTTGCCTTATCAAAGGCAAGGCATCTCTATTTATGGCAAAACAAAATATTTAGCTTTTTTACGAGCATATTTTTGCTCATTTGCTAAAACAATGAAGCGAGTTATGAACTGACAGGCACCACCTCTTTGAAAGGCGTGCGCCATCATAAAACCCAGGGACCACCATTCTTTTGTGGCAATTGCTTTTAATAGGAGTCCATTAGCTTGTTTGGTTTTTGGCTAAAAAGAACTCATCCAAACATTTGAAAACACTGGGAGGTGGTTGGGTCGTAAATATGAAAACAACAACAACATATTTGAGTGCGTGTGTGTGTGTGCTATCCTGGATATTTTTATGTTGTTATAAAAGTGATTTTTATGATAGTTTAAAATTTGTTTTTTATGAAGATATATTCCACTTGTTTCGACAGACAAGCTGTTGTTGGGCTAGGAAAAAAATGAAACCTAAACTCTGCAGGTAGCTATTGGCGTCTAGGGGTATTAACGTATTTTGCATGATGTTAGAACGTATTTTTAATAGCGCCATATATTTAATCAACGTTTTTGTAATCTAGGATAGGTTTTAATTTCTTTATGTCCCAATAAAAACACTTCGTTTGCTTTAATAAAAGAGGGAAATTAAATTGTTTCTGAGTTGGCCTTGTGAGGTACATGTGTGCGAACATATGATGCCGGTTTAAACAAGAATTTTGGATTAGGAATTATGAGAGCTACTGCAAAACCATTGAACATTTTCCAAGGAAGTTTTCTATCCCTTTCGACTACAAAAGAACTAAGTTCGGCCGCTTTCGAAAGAAATGAGGTTAGGACCTTCAAAGTTCTTCAAAAAGTTCGGTATTGATATATTGGGTTTATGAATTAAAACGGGAAAGGACTGTGGATCGACTGAGAGTTATATGCCAATCAAGGCCATACAACTTTTTGGGATCTCCGGAGAATAATTCAAGGCGGTGGAGGGCCTACTATATTTTTTATATAATTTCCATTCCATTTGATAAAATTTTTCAAGTTACTCTCCTTTACTTACTTCAAATATTTTCTTAAATGCTCTGCAAATAAAAGAAAAAAGAACACAAATTGATTGTTAATAAAATTATTCCAAAAATCATAAGTTATTATTATTTGCTTAAAAATTATGCTTGATTATTGTAATAATAACCTAAATCCTGGCCAAAGACACCTTCACATTTCCGCCCGCAAATAAAACAGGAGGCAACAAACAAATCCAATAAAACCGTCAAATCATTTAACTTTGCCATTTATCCAATAAATGTCTTGGTGGCCTTATCTCAATTTAAACATCTAAAATGGAATTGCTCCAGCCAGCCAATCGGCCAGCCAGGCCAGTCAATGAAAGAGAAAACAATAACCATAATCAACATCACCAGATCCGCCAGTGAAATCCCAGTGTCCATGATTCTTAATAGAATACCAAATAACGAGCAGCAGACCGACATCATTACCAATACCACTAGAGATGGAAAGGCGAATGATTTTCTTCTGGTCTGTGGCATTGAATGTAAAGCCAGCAAAATGTGTCTGGCTCTACACTTGTCCGTCCGTCTGTCGGCAAGGTAGTTTAATTTTCCGTTTTCACTCTTTTTTTCGGGGAATCCTTGAATATTATTTGAAAATTATTGTCTGATTTCGTTTTGTGGAAAAGAGCGGAGCTTACCTTTGTTGTTGTTGTTGGTGGCAACACACCTGACTGTAAGGCTGACACAGATGTCTGGTGGGCTGGTTTTCAAGGGATTTTCTCAGGAAACCTTCATGGAGACAACAAGCAGCCAGAGACGACAATCAGTGCCCACAAAAGGAATCGGTAAAAGTTGTCTTCTTTGGCCTCGCAACTTTTAACTTTTTTCCTTACCTCCCTCGTTTGGCTGGGCCAAGTGGGTCCTTTTACGTTTCTTCCTTTGCTCTATGCATTTTACAAGGATTTTATTAAAACTCAATATCACTGGGGGAAACGTAAAGTTCAAATCACTGGGAATCGGACAAATGAATGAATTGGGAGGTTAAGAGCAGAGACTGACTGAATGGCAGACATACGGATAAATGAATGGCGTATTGAGCATTTAAACAACAACTTTGGGCTGGCAAAAAGTCAGCCGGACAGACAGACAGACATACAGATTGGCAGAAACTTGGTAAATTGTGTGGTTTTGATTTGAACATTGGGATTTACTTGTTTATTTGTCTGGTCGGCTGGCTGGTTAGGTTGGTTGGCTGACTGAATGACACACACATAGACGTTAGACAAATTGTCTATGTATGTATTTATTTCTCATTGTTGCCTATTTTGACTTTCTCTTTTCCTGGCTCATCGAAGGTTTGGCATTTTGTCGAAATAACCGAATATGAATGTTGATTTGATGGCTAACCCTGCGAAAATGGCCGGCTGGAGGAGACGGAGAGGTAATCCAGGGAAAAAATGGTGATTTTTACCAACCAACACCCATGTCCTTGGCTTATGCCGTTATTTTTTTTTTTTGTTCTTTGTTTTCGTCAATTGTTTGCCGGATGGGGAAATTACTTTTGTTCCACACATAGGCCACACAGAGATACCAAACTTTCCAACCGAAACAAAACAGCAAAAAGTTATTAGTGGTTGGCAAACAAAAGCGAAATCGAAACAAAGGCAATTATTGGTGTTTTTTGTGTGTGTGTTTTGTTCAATGCAATAGGGGAGACCGGAAATGGAAGGTGGGTGAGGAGGGAAGGTGGAGGGGGGATGTAGGAGCTGGGTGGCAGGGAAAATGAAATTTCTATTGAAATATTTTGAGCAATGTCAGAATACAACAATGAGAATAGACAACAATTACATGGCAAACAATGTTAAAAGGATTTCCAATGGCCAAAAAAAGGTTGTTTAATTTACAAAAAATTAAAAAGCCATTGAAACTTTTAAAAGATTATTTTAATGTTTATTTATGATTTGTTATCCAAAGTCAAGCATTTTTAGTTGCAAGGATATTTAATTTATTATTTGAGAAGGAGTGGTTTCGACTGCCAATAATTGGCTCGAAAACTCCTTATTTTTTGGCGGATGGTAATTCCAAAGAATGCTTGTTTACATTACACTGTAGTGGATTGTGAGGTCATTATCTTTATTTCTGGATATCCTTTTAATTAGCCCAATAGTATAATGATCCTCAAGGCGAGACCTTGGTTAATCAAACGATTCTGGGCACATTTCTCCAATTTCTTTGCACATATTAATTTTTTCCTATACTTTCTGTAGCTCTTCTTGAGGTACCTTTGATTTCTCCTGGTCCTTATAGAACCTTCCTGCTATCCTGTTATTTCATATATTAGTAATTCATTGAGGACCACCGCATTCCAGATCAAATATCCCACAGAATAGATTTTTCTCCGAATCCTGTAAACTAAATCCAATTCTATATTTGAATATGTCAACATAATTATCTTAAATTTGTAGATATGATGATCTTTTCAATCTGTCGAAAACTTTTTGCTCATCTTGTTGTTTTTTGTTGGTGTTGTTGTTAGCATGGAAACTGTTAACACTTTATGCGTATGTGGATGTCGTTTGGTGGTGGTGGTGATGGTGGGGTTTAAGAGACTTCATACATTTTTAACAAGCAATAAATATTGAATTATTTTTGTGAAATTCAATACTTCTTCTTCCACACCATCCATGCCACATTTAACCACACAAACTTCTATCGGAATAGACTACTAGCTCAAAAAGAGAGAGAGCTAACTTCTATAGCGACAGCAATAAAAAGAACAGCAACAAAAAATGGATTCGAAAAAAAAGTTGAACATGAAACGGAAAAAGTTTATTTAGCACCATTTTGAAAACCATAAAGTAAACTGAAATGAAGCTGTATAAACGTGGTAGACAGTGGGACATAGGAAAATAGATTTTAACAAGTTTTTAAGAAATTGAAGATCCTGGATCTTTAGGAAAAATTGTATAACCTCATTTGAGTTACCTTTGTAGGTTATTTTTATCCCGGCTTGACTGTATTGATATCAATGAATATCTAAGTGGCTCTTATATGTATTTACACCAAGAGACACATCTAAACAAACGATTGGAAAACTTAGACTCCACAAACACCCACAAAAAAGAACCCGATACATGGAAGTGCAGCAGCATCAATGAGGGACCTATCAGCCATAGATGAAGTTCGTTTTTTATTCATTTTTAAATTTTTCCAAAAGAGTGTTTAGTTTCACACTAAATAGTATAAATAGACTTCCCTGAATGTGTGTAATATAAGTTCTAGATATGTTAACTAGGAATTCTTCAGGGATGTCTGATGTGAAAAATATGGGAAATTTATTGGGGAAAACAAAATTAAATATTAATGTTTTCATAGAGGAAAATATGCCATATATTTTCACCTTTCGAAAAGAAATTTTAAAATCGCTAAATTCAGCTCAGGGTAAGATGAAAAAACTGGAACCGCCTTCAAACTGCTCTCATTTCTAAGCCACTCGTCCGACACCATTCGGTAAATTTTGAAAAATAAGCTCGGGGTAGAGCCATTGAAATTCCAAAAAGTGCAAGAACTTACACCGCAACAGAAAGAAAATAGACTCAAAAATGCTAAAGGGTTGCTTCACTTGGGCGAAAGTGGTGAACTGCCAAATTTGGTTTTCTCCGATGAGAAAAGATTCTTTGTTCAACAGTTTGTAAACAAACAAAATGTTCTGATTGTGTTTACTTGCCAAAGAGTTCAGCTGAAAATGTGCACCTTCGTTTGGCCACCAGAATTCCAGCGCCGGCCATGGTGATGGTGTGGGCCGTGGGATCAGAATAAATGCCGAGTATTATCGCGAAAATATTCTGGAGGGTGTATTAAAGCCTTGGGCAGGCAAACATTTTAGCCGCAGACCTTGGACATTCCAACAGGACTCAGCAACATCGCACTCAGCATGCACCACTCAAGAATGGTTACAAAATGAGGTTCCTCGCTTCATTTCCAGCGCACAATGACCACCAAAATCTCTGGATACTAATCCGTTGGACTATTGTGTCTGGAGTATTTTTGGAAAGCAAGGTTCGCACTAAAATATACCACAGTGTCGATCAACTCAAGCAAGCGTTTGAAGGTCATAATCCGTGCCAAAGGTGACCAATCTGATCTGAACAAATCTAAACGTATTCTAAAATTTGATGGCATTTCCGAGATTTTCTGCTTTCATTCAATAAAATTTAAAAAAAACATGAAGAGTATGGCGTTTGACTTTGATGCAGTTTTTTTATCTCACCCTGTATAAGTAGGCCCAGGCTAAGTAGCTAGGCTCCTTAATGAACTGAGATCTAATATTAAAAATGCAGTGTCAATTAAAAAAATAGCTAAAACGAGAAGTTAGAGAGCTCAATGGAGGCTGCAGCAAAAATCATTCTCATCAGAAAATGTAAGTATACTCACTAAAGTTCCTTAATAACCTGTCAAAAATTAGGAAAAATGGATTTTTTTGTCTCTATTGGCATTCCTAATGCCAGAAATATTCCTTGCCTGCATATGCGGATTTGCTCTTTGAATGTGACAACATTTGACTTTTATCCTTTGGTGCAAAATAACTTTAGTTCATGTTTTTGCCCTTAGAATTTCCCACTCCTCCTCCTTTCCGCCAAGCAATCAAATGTGAATATTATGTCTGCTGCAGAATGCCTTGTTCTTTTCAGTTCATAAGCAATATGTCACATTGATATTGAGTTGCAATTTGCTGTTGCACATCTTTCAATACGTTTTGTCGGGGTGGGATGGGGCGGTGCGATGCGATGCGACAACAGCAAAAAAGGAAACTTTAGGAAATTGTACGAAAGTAAGCGAAAATTGAGATCATAGATTTCGGTTGGGTGTGATTCGTTTTTTTTTTTCAAGACACTTTTTCTGGCACACAACACTTGGGAGAAGTGACAATTTATCCGTTTTTGTAATATAGTAGGGGAGGGAGGAAATTTTTTCTATTTTATACGACATACGATTGGGACAAGTGAATTGACATGGAATTTGTTGTGCAGCATTAAAACGGAAAATCAATACTCTTTACAAACAATAACAAT